GCCACGTAGCAGCTTGCGCATGGTTTTCTGGAGGGTCCTGTTCATTCTTTCTGCTACACCCTACTGTTGATGGGCGTAGGGAAGGGAGATGAGCCGCTTGATTCTCCTTTCAGCCAAGTACTGCTTGAACCTCTGTGAGGTGTATTCTCCTCCCCCGTCTGGCTGGAAGCTCTTTAGTTTGATGCCCGATTCTCGTTCTGCTACTAGGAGCCACGCAACGAAGGCTTCGAAGGCCATGTCTTTGCTCGGAAGGTTTAGATGCCAGACATATCGTGTGGCGGCGTCGATGAAGGTGATGGTCTAGCTGTACGCGTTTTGTCCAGGCTCGCGGTTGTACAAGATGTCGGTGTACACCTTCTCGAGTGGCGCGTAAGCTGGTGCGCTTGGGTTGTGGTGAGACGCGAACGGTTGATGCGGTAAGTCAGCTTCGGGACAGGTGAAGCATGTTCCACGGGCTCGCTGAAGTTCTCTGCCGTAAGTTAGGAGTACAGAGTCTTTATCGAGCACGCCTGCTCTTATCGTTTTGTTTAACACTGTGTTGCTTGGGTGTCCCATTCTTGTGTGCCAGGTTCTTTTGGTTGCACGATGTCCGGGTGAGCGCCGATACATATCGGAGTTGGAATAGAAGCTTGCGGTGAAGTTGGCGCTTCGATGAACTTCTTGTGGTGCTGGGTGCAGTTGTTGCGCGAGTGTCGGTGGTGTGTCGTCGACGAGGAGTGGTGCCGTTGAAGGACCAGCGACTGGTGTTGACGTTCCTGCTGCTGCCGTTGATGTCTCTGCTGCTGCCGATGTTGTCTCTGCTACTGCCGATGTTGTCTCTGCTGTTGTCTCTGCTGCTGCCGATGTTGTTTCTGCTGTTGTCTCTGCTGCTGCCGATGTTGTTTCTACTGCTGCCGAGTGTTGAATTGTTGCTAACGCCCTTGTTCTTTCTGCCTCAGGGATGGTGTGTGAATGCCAGAAGCTGCCGGGGCTGAATTCTGGATCAAGATCTGGAGGGTGGGTCCAGGAAGTAAAGGTGACGATGCCGTCACTGTCTGCTATGCCAAGATCCGGAACAAAATCAAGAACAAAGACGTTATTTTTCAGGATCGCTTTTCCGATGTAGAGGCCGCCCTTCCCGTGGTACAGCTTGAACTCCTGAGTGGTGCTATCTGCTTCAAGGTGGATACCTTTAGCCATCAGTTGGGTGACGCTGAGTAAGTTGTAGCTGAGGCCTTCTGCGACTAAGACCTTGGACATTTGTAGTATGACGTTTGTTTCTCGTGACTGAAGTTGAACGACTCCTTGTCGTCGTGAGCGCAGGTTTTCGTTGTTGGCGATGGTGATGACTACTTCGCGTTGGAGTTGGTACTCTCGTTGCACGAAGCGTCCTGAAGAACATATGTGCTGTCCGCAGCAACTGTCCAAGAACCACGTGTCCTTCTCGGATGGCTCGCTTTGGGCGATGGTTGCGTATGTCGGGTTCGGCTGAAGTGAATCGCGGTGTGGTGTGGTGTCGTCGAGTTGTTCTTCCGGTGAGTAGTACGGTGGTGATTCCGTGATGCTGGAGTCGCTCAGTCTTACCATGCAACTGACGATATTCCTTGCTCCTTGTGCAGGTTGTCCTGTTGAGGTTGTTGAGGCTGGAATCTGGGTCGTGGGATTTGCTTGTGTTGAGGCGACTTGGTTGCTTGAAGGTCGAAGCTGCCCTTGTGAAGGCGTTGACTGTTGTCGATTCGGGCAGTGTGTGCGCGGGTGCCCTGACGTCTTGCAGATGTGGCAGAACGGAGGTACGGGCTTTGGTTGTTGTTGTTTGTTGTTGTTGTAGCGTCGCTGAGTGTGAAATGCAAATTCCGATGCTGATGTCTTCTTCTTGTGTCGTTCTTCTTGCAGGTCCATGTCTTGCTGCTCGGCGTGGATTTCGGCGCAGAGCGCTGCTTCGGAGATTCTTCCGTGGGCTCGGAGAATGGCCTTTGTGGCGCGCCATTGAGGACCGAGGCCGCCAATGATAATTGTCACGAAGGCGTCTTCAGTTTTCGACCCTCCGCATCGAAGGAGTTTGTCGCGCAACTCGCGACATCAGCTGATATACGCCATTCCTTTCTCGCCTGGTTTCACTTCGACCGTTGTCAGTTGCGCCAATAACCGACTTTGATTTACGCTGACTATTGCTTGATACAGGCTCTTCAAGTGGTTGTATGCGAGCTCCGCGGAGTTGCCGTAACCTCGGTAAGACCATATATTCTGCTGTTGAGTCGGGGTGATGTTCCTCAGTAGAATCGTGTACGCCATCATCGACTGATAGGTGTACTGCTGCTTCTCATACTGTGTGCCGTTCATTGGGTATGGCAGGGACCCGTCGAAGAAGCCAAGTATATGCGCGCCTTCCATCATCAACTCGAATTCAAACGACCAGGTGAAGAAATCCTTTCCATCGAAAGGTCTTGACGTTTGCATCTTCAGAACGTCCGCGAACTGCGACTGAACTTGTAATGCGTCCAGTGACTTTTCTTGTCCAGGTGAAGGCTGCGGGTGTGGCATAAAGCTGATGGACCCGCGCTCGTACGAAGCAAAGGTAGGCTGCTGCTGTTGATTTCCTCGTGCGTATGATGAGCCGTCGAGACTCATGGGAGTTGCTCCGTTGTTGTTGCTATTGTGTGACTGCGCAGGTGCCGATTTCTGGTGTTGCTCGTAGAAGGACATGAAGGAGGAGAATTTCTCCATCATGCTCTGGTCGAAGTCTGCAGGTTGATTCGCAGGAGTCTTGGTGGATGTTGCCCTGGGTCTTGTTGCCGTACCCTCCTCTATCTGTAGGCCAGAGGCAGGAGGTGGAGTAGGAGTAGTGCCCTGGGAGCCGTTGGAGGAGCTCCTTTCCTTTTGTGTAGCCATGCCTGTTGATGTTGTCGGTATCTTAATAGAAGTTAAATTCTCCCTGACAGCTCTCATACCATGTTGGGCTGAGAAAAGCCCCTAGGATCTTTGCAGGGGTGAACTCTGAGTAGAACTGATGTAGTAGCGGAAGCGTTTTAATGAAGAGTTGTGAACCACCTTGCGCTAGTATGTGAGGGCAAAGTAAGTTGATTAAAGCAAAGAGATACATGATCATATAAGAGTACAAGGAATATGAAGAGATATAGTCGTAACTACTTTACTGTTGCTGTTGCGGTTCGATATAGTGACGACTCGGGCAACTGCTCTGTAGCGAGTCATTTGAGTGTCCTTGCTGTTGCGCTGTACTTGTCAGGTCAAAGGTCGCTGACCTTTGACTTTCGCGTAACCTCCAGTAGTTACTTCAACCTCCGAGGGTTGACTCGCTGGTGCCTCGATATGCTTCGCTTCGCTTGTGCCTTGGTGTTTCGACACGACAGAGGCGCTTAAGCTTGATTGTTTCCAACAATTTTCAGTGGTAATTTTGGAACAGAGGTTTTCGCACCGCTATTTGGGACATGATTTAACTGATGCTCAACGGGGGTATATGTTTTTTCCGTTTACCTAAACCCACTTCTTTGGTAAACATTCTAGTCTTGGCTTCAGATCCCCCGTATTCCACACCCCTTTCGAATGTAGTATGGGAATCGAAACATTTCCTTTTTATTTAAGAGGGTGGTTTGGGGTGGGTGCTCCAAATGCTGACGAATTTATTGGCGGGGTTCGCTTTAGTGTTACATATTTCGCACTCGCCAGAAACGCCCAAATAATCGACCATAGCCAGGGCCCAAAATAGGTTTTAGCTCACTCTTTCAAATCAGGGTGGCATCCCCTCCGTACCCTGACTGGTAGGGTAAAGTTTCTCGTACACTGATTGTAGCAGCCTAAAAGTTTTGGTACACTGATTTTGGCAGGATAATATATGTCGTACATTGTTTCCTTCCTAAGCATAAGATTGTACTACTACAACAATTACTCAGTTATCACTCAGTTATCCTAAGCGGATCAGGCTCAGAGGCAGGCATTCGGAACAACAAACGAGAGGGAAACGAGAGAATGGCAAGAGCCTGAGAGACCCCTCGGGAATCACAAAGCCCAAGGCGCCTCAGGCAGCAAGGTTCCCTCGCTGGTAGGGAACTGCACGGCAATGGCTGCAAGGCCACAGTGACTGCCAGGTGGTGGAAACGACAGCACGTACGGTACCCCACCTGGCGCGCAATTTGCCTCCGTTGGCAGTGCGCGATGTTGCGTGACGCACGGAAACTGGGTGCGTTGGCTTCAATGTCGCTCAACGGACCAATCGTAGGTGTGCGGTGCCATCCGCACTGAATGTACGTTGGCGCGCCAGGAGGTGTATCCAACAAATGGTCCAGTGGGACCGTGGAGCATTTTGTCGTGGTGCGGACTGTGGCGGAATCCGCGGTACGGAAAAGTTCCAGTAAAAGGGTAGTTGAACCCCTACCCTGATACAGTCAGTGTAACTGGAAAAGCTACAAGAGTACTTTTAAGCGTATTCTGATCGCACTAGGGTAAAAATCTGCATACCCTGATTTGAAAAGGGTAACTGCCAAAAAGTGGCCTATGAGCAGGGCAAAAAGGGTAAAATACCCTTGAAATTTGGGCCCTGACCATAGCGTTTGGTCGTAACAATTTTACACGCCCTAAGGTGTCAGGGCAACTTTTTGAAACGTAAGGTAACACATCTCTGATTTTTCAGGGAAAGAAAAAAATATCAGAACCAGTGAACCACTGTTCATATTTCAGCAGCAAGTAATACCGGTATTCTTGCTTTACTACCACTCAAGCACTTGCACACTTTCAAATCAGCATCCTGTCTGTTGCAACGTCATACACCCCATTTCCCCATTCTAGCAAGCAATGTGTGTTTTTGAGTATGATGCAAGGTGTGTATAGATGGTGTGGTGCTGTTGCGATGTAGCCTTGAGTCAGGGGGGGGGGAAACCCTGGGGGAATGATATACAGTGGTAGTACATGTAGTTTCAAAGAGTTTTTGGGTCAGAAACCAATGCTGAAAAGGTAAATAACTGAAGTGATGGAACCTGAGTATGCTTGCATGCGCGGCGAAAGAAACGTCACCGCCAGAGCATGACACACCCTGAAGTAGAGATGTACTCTAGCATTCTAAACTCAGATATGTCGTCGGGCAGAGCCTCCAGCTGCTCGCAGCCATTGAGAACAAGCTTCCTCAGTCTGCTGAGCTGGGCAAAGCCAGACGGAAGAAGACGGATACTGGTTTTTGTGACGTTCAGCTCATGCAGGCAAGAGAGCTGCGTGAGGGAAGCAGGGAGATGCGTGAGGGATGAGCAGCAGGATAAGTCCAGCTTGCGCAGCCTTGAGAATGCCCCAAAGGCGTGCGGAAGAGAAGACAACTTTGGCGAGTAGATTTGAATGGATGTCAGGTGGTGGAGAGTGGTGATGGCGGCAGGCAGCTCTGGGAGTTCAGCAATGATGTTGAGCTCCCGTAGCTCTCGCAAACCTGAGCCCCCAAATTCCACCAGCGAGTTCAAACTGCAGACCTCCCTGAGTGTCAAGGTGCGGAGGCGAGGAAGCCGGGTCAGTGCGGACAGAGACTCCTCTGCACCTTCTTCGAGCACCAGCTCCAAGTGCCTCACACCGGAGAGATGCTCACTGATGACCTCAACACAAGCTGCATCCACAGTGCCCAAGCACAGTTCCTTGAGCCCCGTAAGGCTTGAAATTTCTGGCAAAGACCCTGTATGGTGATTATATGAGTACCTTAGAGCCTGGAGGCTGAGTGGCAGAGCCTGAGGGGCTTCGATCAGCTGCCAACACTCCTGCAGCTCCAACTGCGTCAGGCTGGTGAGCCCATCCAGCCTCCTGGAAACCGACACGAGATTATCACACTCTGTAATCCTCAGCACTCGAAGGCTGACAAGCGACGTCACAAAACCCGAAAGCTCTTTAAGGAAAAAGCAGTTTTGAATGTGGAGCTCCTGCAGGTTCGTCAGCTCCCCAATCCCCTCTGGAAGCTCAATATGTTCCAACCGAACCAGCTCCAACCTGGTCAGCGACGGCAGCTGCGCTAATGACGACAGCAGCTGATGTTTGCTGTTATACTCGAAACGAAAGGTCTGGAGATTGGTCAGGCCGCCCAAGTCTTCTGGAATGTGCAGGATGGCTGACCCCGCAAAGCTCAGAGATTGGAGGGCTGTGAGGCGACCAAACCCTGCAGGTAACTCGTTCATCCGTTCACACCAATCCAGAAAAAACGCCTCCAGAGATGCGAGTCTGGTGAAGGAGGCAGGGAGAGTGCGAAGCGGCAGCTGGTGCAGCACCAAGACCTTCAAGGCTGGAAGATTGCCAAAGCCTTCCGGCAGAGTGGACACGCTGCAGTAGGAGACGGTCAAGCTCTCCAGGCAGGTGAGCGATGTGAACTCGTCAGTCAGGTCGCTCAAGTTTTCGCATTCAATGATGCTGAGCTCTTGGAGGTGCGGCAGCACCTGCCCAATTTTGCTTGGAAGCCGCTCCTGCGTGAAGCAATGGCTGAGGTGCAGGCGTTTCAGGAGTCTGAATGGCGATCCAGGAGGAAAAAAAACGGTGAAGTGCGCATCATCCAATCCGAACTTGAGCGATTGGAGAGTAGGGAGCTGTGCGAGAGAGAAGGCAGGCGGATGTGCTGAAATCACGCGAATGTCGTCAGGCAAGGCGAGGCGGGTGAGGTTGGCGAGTTGAAGGAGGCTGGAGAGCTGGTCGTAGTGAAGGGAGGAGGTTTCTATTGAAACTGCAGTGAGAGACGAAAGGGCGCTGAGATCTGGAGACTTTAAGACGAAGGCAGTGGACAAGATGAGGGTGCGCAGATGCTGAAGCTGAAAGAACGAAGCTGGTGGGTTCAGATTTTCCTCAAGACAGCACATCGACAGGTGCTCCAGGTGAGAGCAGTGACGGAAGAAAAAGTCCAAGCCCGATTCTGTTATCACGCGGCCATTCCTTTCGTGCTTTCCCTCGACCTCGACCTCCGTCAGGACCTCCGTCAGCATCCCCACGTGCAGCGCTCTCAACCCAGGGCACGAAACGGCGAGGTCAGCGAGAAAGGCGTCGTCCAACGTTTCAACGCTGAAATCTGACAGATGCAGATGGGTCAGCCGGGGAAAGCATGCGGCAGCGTTGAGCACATCCCGGTGAGACACGACGCGGTTATCCTTCACGAGCAGCGACGACACGTGCCTCTGAGCGAGACGCCGCCAGCGACGGCAGATCGACGCGATGAAGAGGTTGTGCGCGGCATCCGCGGAGGCAGGAGGGGTCGGCATGGGAGTGTCTGCTCGCTTGCGCCAGGGCTCTTCTGGAGTATCGTGCGCGGCAAAGCACGTGAGCCTGGGAGCCAGAGGGTTCCACAGGTCATCATGATCGCTCTCGGATGTGCATGAGCTTGACCGTTCGGATGGCCACAGGATCCTAAGGAGGACGTCGTCGAGGAGATCGTGGATGTGGGTTCTACTGGAGTCCATGATACCAGCTGTGTGGACAAACTGTTAGGTGGAGTGAAGCTAAGTAAACCTAGAATTGAATGACTGGAACCACGGCTTACAGAAGATGTTGATAGCAAAGTCGGCTACAATTACGACTCGCGGCTGTTGGTGGTGTCGGGGATTCGGAGTACCTGCAGCAGCACAGGTAGTCGCGCCAGGAAGATGCCCACTCGCCTTGCCCTGTGCTTTCGGCTCTTCGACGTCCTGCCTTCCGCCAAACCTGCCGTGCGCGCCCAGTGAGCCCTCGAGGTCCGCCTGCTGCTGATTTCCCCCCCCCCGCTGTGTTCTATTCTCAAACCAAAGCTGGTTTCGCTCGGCAAAACCTAGTTTGGGAACTAGCGTAGATATTGATTTGGGACTTGCCTGCAGAGTCTGGGGTGGGCGGGGTTGGGTTGCGATGGGTGGGGTTGGCATTGATTTCGTTTGTGTTAGTGAGCATGACATCCAGATGGCTTGGCTGGAGTGAAAGGGGTTAGGGAAGGGTAGGTTCGGCATTTTGGTTCAACCGACGATTTCAGCAACACGAAGGGAATCTACAAAATTATAAATTTTAAACACACATTGTGTTTTTCAAAATTGTGTATTGTGAAAGCGAAGCTCCTTGTACTGCACAATTGGCATCGTCGAAGCGCGCTAAACGCCCTTCTCCAACTACAAAAACCGTGGTTGGAGTTCATTTCCCTCCACCCACGTTTCTCGATTTTCAAACGGCTCACTCAACACTCCCACCACCCACCCCAGAGTAAACCGCCTTGCTAATGCCACTTGGATAGGGTGCATCTTGTTACGAATAGTAATACTTGATATTACTATGCACTCCTCACCGTAGCAAAGCACGCGCAATATCGGGAACGAACGCGAAGCGTCAGACAGTTGGAATCGAGTCAAAGAGTCAGACGGTTACAGCACATCTGAACCGTCGAAGGCAAACGGCATCGAGCAACTGCAAGAAGGATGGTTTTGGCGGGAACAGTTTCGAAACTGTACGCGCCGAACGGTTGGATACATTTGAATAAGGGAATGTACCCCTTAGAGTACATGGCTAGTTAGGTCGTTTCGAATTCCCTTGTACTCATACCGTAATCCCCCGTATATAAAGCCCGCCGAATTAATGCCCCCATGGGTGGCTTATGCGGGTAGAGGGGTTTATTGGGGGATCCCGCAATACTATACCCGCCTTTACCTAGTTCCGGGAGAGCACCCCCCCCCCCCCCCCCCCCGGGCTTTGTACTTGTGATTTAGCAAGTAAAAACACATGGTTGTGTATGAGTTTCACTACAAATATTACACAGAAACCATCCGCATCAGCCCCGTTACTCATGCATCCTACAGGCTCTCATCTCATCCCCCCTTGCACCCTAGACTTCTCCGCTCGTGCCTTCCTTGTCTAAGTCGTCATCATCAGCGAAGGGGTCATCCTCCTCGTCGACAGGAACCCCACCGCGACGAAACCAGACAGGAGATGAAGGGGCCCCCGTTGCATCATGCTCTACGTTCGCTTCGCGGGCTGCCTTTTTGCGTGCTGGCCTCGTACCAGTCATCGTTGCTAGACTACTGTGGTCTGTGACTGCCGCGAGCTCCTGCTTTTCAATGTGTCGAGAGAGGGACTCCCGCAGTGCAAAGGGTGTGAATTCACTTGTTCGTGGGTGTGTTGGGATGCACGTCGCAGACTAGTTCGCGCTCCAGTCGTTTTCATGCAACGAGTCGCGCTGAAAGTGAGGTTCCCTGCGTCAAATAAGCGCGCCAAGAACAATGAGTTACATGGATTTGTTCACTGAAGTACACTGCATTGAATCAGAGTTCAGTAACGCGTTCGTCAATATAACACACGGGTGCTATACATTACATCCTTTAATACAACGCCCCCTTTTATTTTTTCAAGCGTTTTAACACAACACCCGGGGCTGCCTATACGGGGGATTACGGTATATATATATCGCTGTATTTGCATGATCTCATCATCTCAAGCATTTTATATTCACTCTGCTATTGAGGTCACGGGCCCACCAACACTACTCACTGTGTGCGAACCTACCAGAGCAGATCCTGGGTTACGATCAACTTCTGATCGCAACATGGTATGAGAGCGACTCTGGAATCCTTCGCACCGTCACTACCGAAAATTGCGACATCTGAAAAGTGGCGACCGGCACACGATCCCGCACGAGGATGGCCGGAGGATCTGGTGGTCAGACTAATCTGACGGCTGAAGCACAACCCAACCCGGTTGGGCCAAGCGGGAACACGACGACAATCGACTCCGAAGTTCTCGCACAACTTCTTCAGCGACTCACCAGCTTGGAGCAGGGACTCCAAACATTGCGGAATAGCGATGCGGGAACTTCCTCGCAACCCTCTCAACCGGCCCCGACTGGCCAAAATACCGCCCCGCAAACATTCTCCCTCGACACCAATGGCTCAACCCCTAAGACTCCCCGTCCCAGTGAAGAAGCAATTCTCTCCGCTCAATCAAGGTTTCTCAGCATATCAAAAATAAATACAAGTACCTGTTTTGACGGCAGAGACTTCTATACCTGGAGCTTTGAATTGGAGCTCCTACTACAGAACGCCCAAATCTTCCACTACTTCGACGGGAGCTACGCGGAGCCTGCTGAAGACACCGACGACGCCAAAACGAGGTACTACAACGAATCATTGATGGCGTACGGAGTGCTCCTGCGGAACATGTCGGCGGCGGAGCAGCTCAACATTCGTTCGTACAAAACAACAGCCGCTCCAGCCCTCAACGCCTGGCGGCACCTGACGGGCGTGTATCAGCCCAAGGACTCCGTGTCTTCGAGCCGACTACTCCAGGAACTACTGGAGACCAAGATGACCTCAGGGGAGAAGGTCAACAACTATCTCAACCGCTGTCGGAGCCTTCGCGACCAAATCGTGAAGTTGGGAAGCACGATATCGGAAGAAATCTTCGTCAACATCGTGCTTCAAGGGCTCGGCCCAGAGTGGCGACCCTGCAAGGCGCTTCTCCGACAGCAGGGAGTCATCTCGGAGGCCTCCCTTTGCGCCGCCCTTCTCGTCGAACAAAGGGATATGGACCAGCAGCGACCAGCGCCACGACGAGAACGCGAACGGCTCGCCTTCTACGCCGACAACAACGAAGAGCGACGACCGAGGCGCCTCTACTGCAAAAATTGCAGAAACTTCGGGCACCTGGCGGATCGATGCAAATTCCGATCTCGCCCTCGCCAGTCCAATTCGAGCACTTGGACCGGCCGACAAGACACACGAGGCGACGTGCGTCCAGCCCAGGGACAACAACTCCCACCTGCGCGCAACCTGAACCCAGCGGTTCAGCACCAGCAGCAGCAGTCGTCATCGATTGCACCAGTTCGCAATGTCATGAGTAACATGACCATGACAAGCAAGTCGCGTCGTCGTCGCATACGCTCACCCTCTCCCGAGCCAGCACCACACCCCATCGGCGCGTATACCAACAACAACCCCTTCAGCTCGCGTCGCGACTACACCGACGACGACGACCAAGACTGGAATCTCCCAGTCCCGCTGCTCGAAAGTCCCCCGCACGTTCCGGATACGCGGGTGGCGCCACTTGATTGGCTCACGCGCGAACAATTTCTCAAGTTCGACACTCCGCACATCGTCACGCCGCGACTGGCGCTGCTCGCACGTGATGATAACAAGCGCTACAACACTTGGTATCTGGACAGTTGCTGCGGCCAGCATATGGTGGGATCCGAGCGTTACATATCCAACGCCGTCCCCACCCCTACCGTCACCTACGTCACCGTGGCGAATAATACGCGCCTGCGCGCAAGTGCGCAAGGCATCGTCGTGCTCAAAGCACACGGAAGCCGCACCCACATCACACTCAACGACGTGTTGATCGTCCAGAACCTGCGCTTCAACCTACTGTCCGCCGCCCAGCTTATGGAATGCGGTGTCGACCTCAGCACGGACCACGCGACGCGTGACATCCTGCTGCACTACGAAGCTCGGAACTTCCCCCGCAGGCAGATCGGACGAGCGCGCTCCGAAAATGGAGTTTACGTCCTTGATTTTGACATCCCCGACTGCAGCGGTGACTCGCACGAATTAATCGACCTCGTGCCACTGCGCTTTGAACACATCCACCGCAGGGATTGGAAGCACCCTGACGGCAGACCGTGGGTCCCGCACCATCCCCACCCACGCGAAACGGCACTTCACAATCCCGATCCAGACGGAATATGCAGGGATTGTCACACACCGACGACTTCGTCGACCGCTATCGCCGGCAGGGGACTCGCCGCCATCGCTGAGGCAGAACGTCACATGCCTCCAAGTGAAGGGATGTCGCAGCTCGAGCTCGAAGTTGCTACCCTCGGCGTCTTCGGCACGCCAGAACATCCCCTCACCAGCTCCCCCTCGCAAAACCTTCAGGGAATGCTGCGCGGAACTAGCGTCGGCACCTTCGATGCCCGTGGAGAGCTGCGACCCTACACTTACGAAAAATTCTTGGAGATCTACCCCCATCAACGCGATTCGACGAAACTCACCGTGGAACAAGAGGAAAACTTCGCGCGTCACGAAGCTGAAGAGCTTCGCCAACTAAGTCTCGCGGAAGCCCGCGACACCCTTGCTTGTGCTGCCTGGGGAGGTGAAGCGGCAGAAGAAGATCCCAACGAAGGAGGATGGGGGACGAGCAACGCCAGCGGCTAGGGAGACAGCGGCGGATGGGGACAACAGCGCCTGGGGTACTCTCCGCGAAGAACGAAGGGGGGGAGAAGACGAAGTTGAAGAAAGTGAGGCAACACCCACAATCGTTCCTCTCGGTCGTCCCCCGCGCCACGCTCGACTCGCACTACCCCCTCCTGACAACCCCCCGAGCCGCGATCCATGGGACACCATCGACTGGGGCAACGAACCATCAACACCGCGTCGTACCGCCTACGGACCTGCCCCTGAACACCGCGAACCCACTTTCGTTCCCGGAACTATCCCTGGGACCAACATCCCAC